TTCAACTCGCGTAGACTCTTTATATATTTATTCATCACACAACAGTCACAACTGACATCAATTTATTAAAAACCATTAAATCTCACACCACACCAGACACCAATCAAATCACGTACACACTCGCACACTTATTCCATAACGTATCATCTTCGGTGCTATTAAATTAAAGATCGAGACTTGACTTGATTAATTATCACGGCTTCACAAAGATGGGGAGCTTCATGCGCATTTGGCAGTGTTTGCCCTGGGCCTTGCCGCAGATGTACCACTTCCTCCCTGGTGACGTCAGCTTTATGACGTCGTATCCGCTCGTCAGAGGCCTGGTCGCCCGAGGTACCCTGCAATAATTGAATTCCGGCCCGCTCACCTTGTAGACGTTGTGATATCCGCGTGGGTACTTGAACACTGTAATTATATCATGTAATAGGAACATTAATACAATCAAGAAAAAGATAGAGATCCGTCGACCGTCTGTATCTAAGATTATTTACTGTAGTATATAATTTCAAATATCTAAATATAATTTTTTTTTGTCATCATAGTATAAAAACAAAACAAAAGTGTATCCTAGTGGAACTGTTTGGCAACTGTCCAACTAACTAGTTACTAGATTAGCCTGATTAGGGGTTAAAATTCTACCTGACAAGAAATGAACCAACTTTTTAAGTTCAAATTTTGACCCTTAAATCAGTTTAGTTCTGAACCAAAGGAAAACGATCAAGAACTAAACCGCTTTAAGCCAAAAATAGTTTAAATGTGGGTTGCCAAACTGATCCTAATTTTATCACCATCAAAGAAGTTAAAAAAATACTTCCAAGAACATTAATTCATACCGAGAGAGTCTCCGACTCTGAAGTCTCTTCCACGGGCCCAAGCAGCGTAATTAAAATTGAGCTTCCATCCATAACCACCACCAACGAAATGACGTACAGGGCGTCGACCAACAGTGGGTTTTGGTGGCATAGATTGTTTAGGCTTGACATAGATGGACAACTTTTGGCCCATCATGCAATGCTTTCCATAAGCTTTGCCACAAATGTACCACTTTCTTCCTGGAGTTGTGAGGGTTATAACGTCGTAGCCGGTGTCCATGGCTTCGTTGAGTGGTGGAACTTTGCATTTGTTGAAGTTATACTCATTCACTTTATAGACGTTGTGATATCCCTTTGCATACTTGAAAACTACAACATAAAAATTTAATTGTAGGATTAGTGTTATATGAAGATACCTGATGTAGCTGCTTATAGCTCATGTTCTATTTCTTTTAATCACATATATATTATGTTCTATTTCTTTTAATCGCATATATATTACGTCTAGTTTTCATGACAATGTTATTTTTCAGTTGGTTTTTAAATTTCTGTATGAATATCATGAATTTATAGTTCATCTAATTAAGAACTAAATGAAAAACACTTAGTCAGAGGTTGTATGTGTCAACAAAGTAAAGTAGTTACACGTTATAGGGTGATAAGTTACAAAATAATAAATAAATAAATAAAAATAAAAAGCCACATTTATGGTCTTAAGTAGAACTTATCACAGCTCAACTCATTTTCTAGCACTTACCACCCGGTAACTTGTTGTGGGAAAGCGCTATCTACACCATATCCTCCTAAAGATGCCAAACTCCATAAGGATATATAAGTGCTAATAAACCGAGTTAATTATAAGGAAAACTTTTACTAGGTAACTGATAACATAAGCATATATATGACCATTTGATGGAAGCTGTATGAGTTTGATAAAAATATATGTACCAAGTTTGTCTCCGACATAGAAGTGACGACCCTTAGCCCAAGCTGCGTAGTCGAATTTGAGGTTCCAACCGTAGTGATCACCCACAAAATGCGTCGTTGCTCGAGCCAACGATGGAAGAGCAGCAAAGACCAGAACAATGGCTGCAATGAACTGAGGAGGAGCCATTGATGTTGTAGCTCTCTCTCTCTCTCTCTGAATTAGCTAGGTATATTACTGTAGAAGAAAGTTGAGTGCATGTTTCATGAAGTCGGGGTCTCTATTTATAGGATTATCATTATATGAGCAATGTCACTAGGAATTAATGTTGGCCGGCGATATGCCATAAAAAATATATATATCTCTACAGTCATGAATCAGAGTCCACTAATCCACCAAAAAAATAAGTATCTGTGTGACTTGGTCACAAGATCATAGGTTTAATGGGATAAGAACACGATGCGTGACGTATTATTAATTACCTCTGTTAATTTCACTAAGGTGATGGTCAATCTTTGAGTTTCCCTAGAAAGATCAACAAATTATCACAAAATATCTTTTAGACTAATTCTTTTCCCTGACCCACTTTAAGATTCAAACTTGTTTCTTTGTTTGTTATATGTCAAACTGGGCCGCTAGTGGCTGTTAAGAAAAACACTACAGTCACACTCCCCACCACACCATGGGGCACAACCCCCCTCACAGCTACAGTGCACGGGCCCACTTTAGATTTTTTTAAAAAATCTAAAGAGTTAACAGGGTTGATTGTGAATAGACCCTTCGGTACATCGCTCTATTGCAGATAGACCCCTTGAGTTTTGATTCTTATAACCTCTGAAGGTCCATTTGTCAAAAATTAATTCTCCCTCCCTCCCTCCCTCCCTCTCTCTCTGAAGGCCTATTTGTCAAAAAAATATTTCTAACATAATTAACGGCAAAATGGCCAGATTGATATATTTTGTAGAGGCTTGATGACATGTTGGGATATTTTCTTTTGGTTTTGTCAGATTGATATATTTTGTCGATTCTGGCGCCATATAGACCTTAAATTTGGCCGGAGTTACTGTTCCGACCAGTGCTGATGAGATTTTTTACATAAAACTCCCTCATCAGATACAATTTCCTGCTCCTAACCCCCCACTCCCTCCTCCTCCTCCGCCTCCACCTCCCCCTCCCCCTCTCCCTCCTCCTCCTCATCTTCTTCCTCCTCCTCCTCATCCTATTCAACCTCCCCCTCCTCTTCATCCCTTCGATGCCAACCGGCGGCACATGGATCTCTGGCGACCTAATACCCGGCCTCCCCAACGAAGTGGCAGAGCTCTGCCTCATCCGCCTCCCCTTCCCCCTCACCTCTGTCGTCCGCTCCGTCTCCTCAACGTGGAACCAGACCCTCACAAACCCTAGCTTCCTCCGATCGAAATCCAGCCTTTCGCTGTCCCTCTCTCATCTCTTCGTCCTCGCCTTCGACCCCTTGACCCACCACCTCCAATGTCAGGCCCTCAACCCCCATCTCTTCGTCCCTCCCTCATCTCTTCGGCCGCCTTGTGTGCAGTTCACCCACGAGCAGATGGTTGCCCCCCGGAAGGTGGGCAAGAGAAGATGGCCGTTGAAGTGCAAGGGCACGGGCGTTGTCGATGATGCTAGCAGTGGGTGGCGTCGCGGGTGTTGCCGAAGATACAGGCGGTGTGTAGGGAGTTCCAATGCAATTATGCAATGCAATGCAACATATCATCGAGCAGTTGACATGCAGGTGGGTGGGACTGGGTCGGTCGTGGGGGTCGGTCGTAGGAGTTAATTCTCTGATGTAGATATAAACCTTTTATGAAAAGAAGGTTTTCTACAAGGATGTGATTGGGTCGAGAAGTTGTTTTGGATGCGTGAAGGTTTTTTCCGAGGTTGCATACATTTTCTAGTCCTGCTCAGCTTGCAAACATATCTTGGCATTGCAAGCTAGATGGTTTGGCTTCTTTTGGGTTCACTTATGCTTTTCATGGAGTGAACATATACTTGCACCTGATATTCTTGCAGTGTCTACAAGGACATTTTTTTTTCTCTCTCAATGATAATTCTATGCATGATGAAATGCTGAGAGAACAAGGACGGAGATGTAACATTCTTGGTGGATGTTTTTGATTTTTCAAATTAATTAATGTTAATGGTGCTTTGAAGAAAACTCTACATATTCTTGGAGAGAGATATGATATATTACCCCGATTACTGGGGACATTGCATGTGGGAAGTTATCGATCTCTTCATGGCCACGACTTTTATTGGGTCGTCTAGAGCTGCTGCGACTCTCCTAACTTTCTATATCCCGTCCTTAATTTATATCCACAATCTACTCCTTGTTTAATATATAAAACTTAGCATACATAATAAGCTTAGGGAAGAGATCCCGATTCTTGTAAAAGAAAATACAAAGACCAATGTTTTCGACCGCAGTAAAATTATGTGATTGAACAAATTTTCAGCAGTTATCAAAGAAAGGTCAGAAAATTATTTTCCTTCTCAGTTCTTGTAGCTCAAGCTGCAGTTTTTCTAAATTGTTAATTTGATGTTATTATCTTGATTCTGCTATTCACATGATCAGCCATTCTTCTGTATACTTGACAAGCCAGGGCTATTTAAGCGTTATACCAATGGATCAAGCAGGTATATATTTTGTTGTTTAGCTTGCATCTATATATCAGTCCTATGTAGAGCGTAGTTATAGTGGCAGTGTACAGTAGAATATTTCTGCCATGGCGGTGGTTTGTTGCGAATGGAGGAGGAGGGAGGAAGAGGAGGAGGGGGAGGTTGAAGAGGATGAGGATGAGGAGGAGGAGGAGGGGGAGGTTGAGGAGGAGGGAGAGGGGGGTTTAGGAGAAGGAAATTGTATTTGATGAGGGGGTTTTATGCAAAAAATTCCTTCAGCACTGGTCGGAACAGTAACTCCGGCCAAATTTAAGACCTATATGGCGCCGGAGGATAAAATATACCAACATTCTTCTGTATACTTGACAAGCCAGGGCTATTTAAGCGTTATACCAATGGATCAAGCAGGTATATATTTTGTTGTTTAGCTTGCATCTATATATCAGTCCTATGTAGAGCGTAGTTATAGTGGCAGTGTACAGTAGAATATTTCTGCCATGGCGGTGGTTTGTTGCGAATGGAGGAGGAGGGAGGAAGAGGAGGAGGGGGAGGTTGAAGAGGATGAGGATGAGGAGGAGGAGGAGGGGGAGGTTGAGGAGGAGGGAGAGGGGGGTTTAGGAGAAGGAAATTGTATTTGATGAGGGGGTTTTATGCAAAAAATTCCTTCAGCACTGGTCGGAACAGTAACTCCGGCCAAATTTAAGACCTATATGGCGCCGGAGGATAAAATATACCAATCTGACAAAACTAAAAAAAATATACCAACATGTCATCAAGCCTCTACAAAATATACCAATCTGACCATTTTGCCCATAAGTAACCCTGGTTAATATTTAAAAAACAGAATGTAGCATATTCCAAGTGCCCGCCTTCAAAATATTATCATTGTCTTCGATATTCTAATATAAGCAGTTTCTAAAACCTTGGATTACGTATTTGTTGTTGTCTTTTATTACCCATACGGCCATACATAATCGATTACTTGTTAGTGCATTTTCATTATTAAGAATTGATCTTAGTACAGCGCCAGAATAATAAATTCCAGAATTTTTATACCCAATTGTTGTATGCAGAGAATTCTTATATATCTTTAAGCTAAGTCCTGTTCGTAACTTAATATATTTCTTTCTAAATAGGGCTCCTCGCCCCATTTTTCTGTCCAAAAAAAAAAAGAAATTGTTGTATACAGAGAATTCCCTTGTATGACGCACACTAACCTCTTATCAATATGAGTCATATGACATAGTTCTTAATATTAGATGGCCTTAGAATTTTGTCCCTAGAAATTACTATGTACCTTCTTGTTTCATTAATTAGAACTTTACACAAAGGACTACTTTGACTTATTATATTTTGTTCTGAAAATCTAGTAGACAAATTGAATGCAAAATAATTGTATATGTTTTTACTAAGCTCGTTCCCCTGAACGAGTCTGATTTCCCTTTAATCTATCACAAAATATATGATCAGCTAGCAGAGAAGATAATGCTTGTTTTTTATTTGTTTGTCAGTTGACATTTGGCTTGATGAACTGTAATCTTTGAGCACGCAAATTATTATGACGATGTGTAATTTACGTTTCTTTAAAAACACAAAAACTAATAATAATGTACACATCTCTCTATTCCTTATCGACTTTCTTCCACATAAACAATTTTCTTTCAATGGTTTTTTTTTTAACTAAGATGAGCTATCTTTGCTCATCAAAATCCTTGCACCGCTATGGAGACAACTTCTTCTTTGTCCTCGACAATAAAAATTTATGTAAAATGTCAGTTGTAAAGCGAATTGATATTAAGTATTGAAATGAGTGAGTCATAATTTGGAGTCCATGGTTCAATCTTAGAAACTATGTACCTTCTTGTTTCATTAATCAGAACTTTACACAAAGGACTACTTTGACTTATTATTTTTGTTCTGAAAATCGAGTAGACAAATTGAATGCAAAATAATTGTTTATGTTTTTCTAAGCTCGTTCCCCTGAACGAGTCTGGTTTCCCTTTAATCTATCACAAAAAATATGATCAGCTACCAGAGAAGATAATGCTTGTTTTTCATTTGTTTTTGTCGGTCGTCATTTGGCTTGATGAACTGTAATCTTTGAGCACATAAATTATTATGACAATGTGTAATATACACTTCTTTTAAAAACACAAAAAACTAATAATAATGTACACATCTCTCTATTCCTTATCGAGATTTCTTCCACATAAACAATTTTCCTTCAATGGTTTTTTTTAACTGAGATAAGCTATCTTTGCTCATCAAAATCCTTGCACCGCTATGGAGACATCTTCTTCTTTGTTCTCGAAAATAAAAATTTATGTAAAATGTCAGTTGTAAAGCCAATTGATATTAAGTATTGAAATGAGTAAGTCATAATTTGGAGTCCATTGTTCAATCATTGTTGCGCATGATCTTTATCCATGAGCCTTTTGTGTACTCTAGGTTCTCCAAAGTAAGCAAATGAATTTATTGACAGTATTTTAAGCGCTAATATTTAGTAAATATCCTCGAAATTATTATCTATTTGTTCCGTACAGCTATCAGGTACGTCTAAAAACAATTATATCTAGAATTACTAGTAAGGCAAAAAGAAATAATAGAAGCATTTACGATTAGCATACTTTTCATGAAAACCCAGATTCTGTAAGCACTCGGTTTGAAGAGAAAAACTATAAAGGGTTATCTAAAGAAAATTATATAGGGAACTAGGTGAATGTTATACGTACGTTTAACATAAATTATAAAGTTGACTATTGCATTGATATGATATTAATGAATGTTGATTGTAGCGATATTATAAAGTGATTTTGCATTAATTTAGAACAGAGAGCTAGACATATATAATGTTTGTTAGGATACACCCCAATAAGAACGCCTCTAACGGAGACGCAATACACAAAATAAAGGCACAATATTCAACACAGTACTCACAGATATACGTGGTTCACTCCTTCGGAGCTACTCCACGGTGCAACGACGACGTCAAATTCTTTTATATCCCAAAAGAATAGATCCAAGAGAACACCCTCTCTTGATCAGATACACTCCAAGAACTCTCATAAACTCTCTCTGTGTTTTCTCTTACTCTTCTATAAGAGGAGTTGTTTCTGGGATGAGATTTTCTTAAGAGTTTAGGGCCCTATTTATAGTGTTTAAGAAAATACTATGCACAAATATAATATTATCTGTGGGACCCGTCACTAATAATAAAATATTTGTGGGACCCGGTGGGACCCGCCACCTTTTTCATTCTTCAAATAAAACGGCATCGAAATCTCATTTTTCTTTGTGAGGCCCACCTTTGTGGGCCCCACGGTTTGTTTTGTTAGGCTAACAATCTCCCACTTGAAGATTTGATTGAGTATCAATCATATCTTCACACCCTTCTTGGTTGCATCATCTGGATGTTTTGTATCTTTGGCGTCTTGCATGGCCCTCAGCATTCTCAACGGAGGTCATATGAGGCTGCACACAGCCTCACCTTCTCGAGCGGATCTGGCTTGGTCAGCATATCGATTGGATTGTACTTTGTATCAATCTTCACAAGCTTAAACTCGTTCCTGCTTTGCCATCTCCGTATGGCATGGTGCTTCACGTCAACATGCTTGGTCCGAGCATGGAATGCGTCGTTCTCTGACAAGTGAATGACACTCTGACTGTCACAGTGGATGAAGTATTTCTCAAAGCTTACTCCAAGCTCGAGAAGAAAAGCCTTCAACCATAGCAACTCCTTTCTGCCTCTGTTGCAGACACGTACTCGGCTTCGGTTGTCATAAAGCCCAGTATCCTATATAACTTGGATTCTGCTCCAACCTTATACGCTCAGCCACCCAGATGAAGATGTAAGCCGCGTCGTACTCCTTCTTGAGGACTTATTATTTTTGTTCTGAAAATCCAGTAGACAAATTGAATGCAAAATAATTGTTTATGTTTTTTCTTAAGCCTCGTTCCCCTGAACGAGTCTGCGTTTCCCTTTAATCCTATCACAAAAAATATGATCAGCTACCAGAGAAGATAATGCTTCGTTTTTCATTTGTTTTTGTCGGTGTCATTTGGCCTTGATGAACTGTAATCTTTGAGCCACTATAAATTATTATGACAATGTGTAATATACACTTCTTTTAAAAACACAAAAACTAATCAATAATGTTACACATCTCTCCATTCTTGATCGAGATTTCTTTCCACATAAACAATTTTCCTTCTAATGGTTTTTTTTAACTGCAAGATAAGCTATCTTTTGCTCATTCCAAAATCCTTGCCACCGCCTAAAATGGAGAATCTTCTTTCTTTGTTCTCGAAAATAAAAATTTTATGTAAAATGTCAGTTTGTAAGCCAATTGATATTAAGTATTGTGTGAATGAGTAAGTCTAATTAGGAGTCCATTGTTCAATCATTGTTGGCATGATCTTTATCCATTGAGCCTTTTGTGCTACTCTAGCGTTCTCCAAAGTAAAGCAATATGAATTTATTGACACTATTTTTTAAGCGCTAATATTTATAAATATCTCGAATCTTATTATCTATTTGTTCGCTACAGCTATCAGGTACGTCTAAAAAACCAAATTATATCTAGAATTACTAGTAAGGCCAAAGAAATAATAGAAGCATTACGATCAAGCATACTTTTCATTGAAAACCAGATTCTGTAAGCACTCCGGGT